TGTCTTCTTGCACAGTAACTTTTATGGATGGTGAGTGATTAGGGCAGGATAGAGGAGAAAGAATTTAAAAGAACAGTTAAAAGAGAGGGAAATGCAGTGAGAAGGACACATTCTTCCATTATTACATGTGGTCACCTAATATATAATTTCCAGTGTTTTCTTAATACTATCAGGTATTAATATCAACTCTACAAATGACTCTCCAAATAAAACTATAGAATTAGAATATGACATTTACATCAAGGTACTCATATTAATTTCAGTGAAACAGCAAAATTAGCTGAAAAGGCGAACCACTGAATATTTAAGAATAAAGGTGAAACAGACGGATGTCCCTCAGGAAGGAGAATGTCTTCTTTAAAAAGAGCAAAAATAAAAGTTATATTTCTTCTGACCCTGAATTTATATTCTGTATATTTTTTCAAAACCATTTGAAAGGCCTCTCAGATGCTGCCACCTTAGCTGCTGAGATATCATCTTTTGCATTTCACCCAGTGAGTCCCCTCTTGTCCCACGATGTAATCTGATCCACCTATCGCCATCAGGGGACATCTGGGATCCATCTTATCTTTCCCACTGACTAGTTGATTAACCAGGAAATGTTTTGAATTGGATTCATATATGGCAGGGCTCCACGGACTTCATGAATTATAATAGGAGCATATAAAAGGTCATTTTATTTTTGTACTTTTAAAGAAGAAAATTCTAACATGGTTAGGAATGAGTTCTTAAAAATTGGAGAGAAAAGATTATATTGCATTAAATGGCTCAGTACAGTAATTCATGGGATTGTCACACTATTTTTAATGAAATATATTTTTTCAGTGAGAAAGTCCTAGCTCAGTAGCCTGACACAGAGTTGTCAATCCATGGATATATTACTGTTAGTTGGAAATAGACAGAAGGCCAAGAAACATTATTTTGCTCTCTCTTGCTCTTTTGGTGCTGGATGGTACATCTGGAGACATATGAAAGGCTGGAAGTTGAGGATCTTTAGTCCAGTGCATCCTTCCCACAGCATGTTTTTTACCAGGTTCTTATGCTGGGGCATGGGGGGAGGTGATGGGTTTGGTTCATATAGCCACTAGACTTTTCAGTGATTTTAATTTTCATCATTACTACCTATGAGCCAGTTCAGTGCATGAACATACAAATAATAATTTATTTGTTTTCTTCTTTGTTTTAAATATCCAAATTGAAAATTAATTATTTCCTACCACTAAGGTTTTATCAGAGCAGAACCCTCACATTGTATATCTTCAGTACATTCTACATTCAGTAAACCCTAAGGAAAACCACCTGTCTTGGTGAGAAGTGATGATTTGGGGGGTCATAAAGCATCTCTCCAGAAGCCTGCATTTCAAAGATGATGCCCAAGGATAAGACGCTATATATTTTTCGAAGTGGTTAGGACATCAGTTTCTAATTCGGGCTTTTAGAAGGATCAGGAAGCATAGTGGTTTTCATGAACCAAATTACAATAAAAAACATTGTACAATGGTGAATCTCCATACAAATAAGAAACTCTATTGTAATTATACGTGTGGAACAAAAGTCTGTGATGACTTTGCTTGAGTTTCCACTCCTGCAGCTGGGTGATCCCAGAGGCATCAGGAGTTCAGTGAGTGTCTTGAACTATGCTTGAGATGTTTTGGATTCAACAAAAGAAACTTTTGCCAAATCCTTCTTTTCTTAATTTTTAAACGTGTATTTCAAGGGAAATTTGATTCATATGTTTCTAATTCATTTACACTTAAATCATCAAAATGTTATTTTGTAAGAGCCACTTGATGTCCAAGAAGCTTTCTAAACCTGTTTTATAAGTCTTCTCAAGTCCTTTTTCTTAAAACAGGAAGTTGAATTTTGCCAAGTACAAATAAACTCAAACGTAAAAAGGTTCAAGTTCAGTTTCTAACTGTGAACTTCAGGTTTCAAGTACATTCTCAAATTAGCAAAATATAGTTTCCCACACCTCCAAAAATATGGGTGGAAGGAAAGACAGTAGTGATAAAAGTGAGTAAGGGTATCCACAAAAATTATTCTCAGAGATATATCTCCAGTTGTGCAAGTTCATAAAATCTATAACAGGTGCTCTTATAGCTAATAGATGCAGGTGAATTTTGAACAGGAGCAATCTGTCTGCTTGCTGGTTCTCTGTGATGTGTCTAAATAAATTTACTACTTTTGTCACAGAAAAGAAAACTTAAAAGTTCAAATATTTTAACTTCACTTTTTACTAATTTTACCTTCGAGTCCTACATATTTTAGTAAAGATGGGAAGACTCACATATTTTGCTGAACAGAAAAGACTCATGAGAGACTCTGTGGGAGTTTTATGTCTGCTCTAGGATAATGAAACTTCAAGTTAAAAATGTAATTGACATTCTTTTTTTGGAATTGGATAAATGCAGAAAATTATCTCTGATGCATACCGAGACGTCTCTTAATTATATATTATTCTTATTATTGTAATGCAGAAGTGATTCAGCCTAACCCTGGAATTTCCTATAGTTGGTTCATTTGTATTTATAGATAAAGAAGTTAAAGATAATTATGAGGGGGTCTGGGACCACTCTAAACAATTTCCTCAATGTTATGTTTTATTAAGTCCATTCAATATTTCCTCTGTGCTACAGAGTAGTCAAGTAATTCTTGGGATGAAAGGTAATATGAACTGAAAACACTTTATTTAAACATTATTAATTAAACTCTCAGTTCACTGTGGACGCTCCCATGCAGTGGCCACCAGGGAAGCTTGCTGACTGTATGAAGCTGGTTTTATTAAACTTTCTAAATAAGGGGGAGCAGCTTCTTGATGGTCCCTGTAGTGTCTCAGATGGGGATTTAGGGATGACGATGGTAGAGTTCGGGCCTGCGGCTGGTCACAGGGTTACTTTAGGACAGATGCTGTAAGTGAGGTCTAGGCAGAGACTGGTAGAATTTGTCATCTAGGAAAGTTGCATTCTTGTGTTTGGAACACAAATCCAAAGAGTTAATGTTAAATCAGTTTGTTTGTATTTTTATCTTGGAACACATGGTCTGAAAGGAGCTGGTATTGAAACAGTGAAGTTCAGGTAGCTGTGTTGCCTCTCATACAATTTACCTGTTTTGAGTCATAACATAGTTTTGCAGGTTGTGGTTTTCATTTTATTTCTAACAAACAAGTAAATATCACAACAAAGTGTAACACACATTTATTTATCTTTTTAAAACTTTTAATATGTAGCTTATCCTTTAAGAAATTAATAAGTAATGAATTTTAAGTTTACTTCTTCAAACAGTATTCAAAATTACATAAGCCTTGTTGAGTACCTATATCTATATCATATAATTTGTTATTTTTCTTTAGTACTATGTATGAATTCTGAGACCATATATAATACTAACAATAAATTGCCTTTGAGCATTTATATTGTATTTTGGTCTATTTGTGTTCATCCTAAATAAGTATTTAATTTTTTATACCCCATCTTGCCGAGGAAATGTATGCTTCCCTAGCCTTATATGCTACTTATGTACCACTAAAATTAGATTAAAATATCAGGAATTCCTGTTTATATGATAGAGTCATGCTATTCTCAGAATGCTCATTTAGATGTAAAGAGATCTTGTATAAGAAAGAAAACTTGTATAAGAGAACTCTCAAAAATGCTATGAAGCTGCTCCCCCTTGTTTAGCAAGTTTAACTGCTAAAGACCACATGCTAATTCTTTATTTGAGACAGAAACTATAATAAAAGCCTTTCCACAGATGGATATTCTATGTAGTACATCCTAGTCTGAACACATGGTGAAAAAAAAAATAAACCTATCAAAAATCCTGTACAAGGAATAGATGATATTTGCCTTTTTAAAGTTAAATCATATTTACTTTCAAATTTATCTTCCATTNTAAACCTATCAAAAATCCTATACAAGGGATAGATGATATTTGCCTTTTTAAAGTTAAATCATATTTACTTTCAAATTTATCTTCCATTAGATAATAGCCATTGTTAGTTATAATTTTACATTTTTAAATGCCCTTTATAAAATGTACATTTAAAACATTCTTGTTTTCTGCTGGCTCTGCCAACATTCTTTAAAACTCAAATTCAGAAAATCTTGTTCTGCAACTCTTTCTCTTCAGTAGCTTCATTAAATATTAAGAGCTACTGTGTACTGTCTTGCTTGTTGCCAGGATTTGGCCGACATGAGCTCATGAAGTTCTCACAATGAATGACCTTGAGAGCTGAGTGGTAGTATTGCCTCTGCTCCAAAGCGAAGGAAACCTGGGCTCAGAGAGGCCCATCGCCCCGCAGCCACGCTCCCATCTGGGGAGGACGCCTGTACCTCTCCTCTCTGCCAGGCTGCCCTAAGCGAAAAAAATTCACATATAAATGCTGTTTCCTCTTTTTTGTTCCCCATGTATAATTCTAGATACTGTGCGGCCTAAGTTTTAGGACAGACTTGTGAACAACCCCACAACACATTTTTGAATGAAATTATCATAACTTTTTCCTGCTGTTGGCTAAAATATTGTCAGTTTTTTATATCAACAGAGATGCTTTTAACTAACCCTCTGATGTTACTAAGTTCTAGTTAAGTTATAAGGAAAAAATGATATTACAATGTGGAGGAATCCATGGACCATTAAACATCTTTCAGAAAATATATCTCAAGGTGGTTACTTTCCCAATCAGATACCAATCGGATCTGGTTTCTTTCCCACTTAACTTCAACCAGAAAATATACAGTGGAACCTCGGTTTTCTAATGTAATCCGTTCCAGAAGATCGTTCGAGTTCTGAAACATTCGAAAACCGAGGTACCACTGTGGTTCAAGGTGATTACTTTTTCAAACCTACACATTCTGAGAGCCAAATAATCATAAGTCCTCTCAGATGATATGGGAGGGCCCATCTGTAATGACCAGGCGGCTTGCTTTGTTGTCTAAGACCTTGGAAGACCACACACCTGCCCTTCTCAACCTGTGTCTCTCCCTCCCCACTTTCTCCTCCAGGACTGCCCACCAGAAGCAGGTGATTTCCGAGCTCAACAGTGCTCAGCTCATAATGATGTCAAGCACCATGGCCAGTTTTATGAATGGCTTCCTGTGTCTAACGACCCCGACAACCCATGTTCACTCAAGTGCCAGGCCAAAGGGACAGACCTGGTTGTTGAACTAGCACCTAAGGTCTTAGACGGGACTCGCTGCAACTCAGACTCCTTGGATATGTGCATCAGTGGTTTATGCCAAGTAAGTATTGGCTTCTTTTCGCTCTGTTTTTCCAGAGGGTTTTAATGTCTTTGTGTAAATACCTTTTCTACCATCCTGCTATCTGAATCACTCAGCGCTACTTTTTATTGCGTTTATAAATAATGACAGATTTTAAAATTGAGGTGTATTTTGTGTTAGAAAACATAGGCTAGGCTTTTTTTCTTTCCTTAAGCCTCACTTGAATATGGAAGAATAGAAATTCTTGAATATTGTATATCACTTTTGGACTAGACTCTGAAATGACCTCTACCTTGGTTGTCCCTAAAATGTGTATCATGTATGTGTGTATGTGTATTTGGAGGCATCTCTTTTCATTTACTTAGAGCTTCAGAATCACTGAGATGAAGTTGACTCTAAAATATCCAAACTATAGACAAATTTGTTCCTTTATCATAACTGTAATTTTGTTGAAAGTTCAGGCAAACTGTCCTGGAAGACTTGACAGTGTCAGCTGGGTCAGATTTCAGCCAGGTCTATCTTTAAAACAGGATAGCAAAAAAGTTTGATTTCTGGTGTCAATTTATCAATGTCGACTTTGGGAGGGGAGTTAGTAAGGCGAAGGAGAGTCAGTATGTTTGCCATCTAGAATTTGAAATCTAAATTTTAAATTCTACTCTTTGGATTAGGATGACCTGCCTAGTTTTTGGAGCAAGCAGTTGCTATATTGCCCTGTGTGCTATATATACCTCACCATATAGCACTTTCATATCTCACAAAGTAGACATTTTGAGAATCTTTGCCTCCCCCTCCCAAGAAGACATTGGTGGGATTTTTCTCCCTTCAGAATCTCTAACATCACAACTAGCAATGCAAGAATTAACATAAAATGTCTTAGTAATTTGTTGTTTCAAATTCACGTTTATTTAAAACTTAAATGTACATTGAGATGTAACAGGAATCACTGTAGTGTGACTTACTGCAGGACGTGCGAGGTGTCCTGCAAGGTTTCATGTCCACGAGAGGGAGACGGACAGTCTAGGCCGTCGCGAGGTCCAGAATCGCGAGACAGGGACGTTTCGGCCGCTCCAAGCTCTTCTCGGGTGGAGGATGGCGATGATGTTTGCATTTCTTTATATACAAGAAACGTGAATTTTAGATATATATTTGAATGTGGAATTTTACTATTTTAAAGCTAAGAAAGGCCTAAGAGATGATCTGGTCTAAAAAGCAATATATCTGAACATCATTTGCACTATTTGGTGTTCGCGTCCTTCCCTAGACTCTCGGCGTCATGGAAATGGGACCGTGGTGCCTGGAAAAGCTTTGGAAAAGTAGAGAATTGAAAAGCAAATAGGAGAGGGGCTGTGTTGTAGGGAATGGCAAATAAGATGGTAGTAATTCCTTACACATGTAAACTGTTTGAATAAAGCAAAACGGATTCCCATTTTGTAAATGAAAACAAATAAAATGAGGAGCAGAGAAGCTGTATGATTTTCTGAAAGTTACATGGTTGGGCATGGCTGACATGGGACCAAATTCCAGGGCTCCTGATGTCCACTTTAAAGTTGTTTGCACTGTATTTCAGTGACGAATGAACCAAAATAAACAAGACAGGTCAGCAAATTAGGTTTCATTTGTTTCTGTTGCATGAGAGTTCAACGTCCCATTTTTTTTCCCCTAGTCTAATCCTGCCAGCTAGCCTCGGGGACCTTGTCAACTGGAAGGAAATCCAATGTCAGCAAATAAAGAATACATTTTATATACAGTAGACATGAAATGATAGTGCTGGGCTTTTGGTTATAAGTTTAAGCATACCTCCTTAAGTTAGATTCTTATGAGTGTGACGTATTAGGTTTGGTGGCAAATGTAAATTATACAATATCTGTAAAGAATTGTGACATACATAGAAATTATATTTGGTTATTATTATTTTCCTCATTTATTTGTCATATTAGAGGCAATATATATGGTAAAGGGAATAAAAACTCAGATTTAATTTAGCTGCTAACAAGCAGTTTGGCTAGAGAGCGGGGTTCCCCCAGGTACACAGTGAGAAGAGTTCGGGAAAGGATCATGGAGGCTTGAATGGCACACAGACTATGGAAAAGTGAGTGGCCAGAAAAGAATTGTAGTCGAGAAAAGACATAATCATAGCTCTGCTTTAGAAAAATTAATATAGCTGCATTACGGGTTGCTTGAAGTAGAGGGCCCTGGAGGCAAAGTGACCAACTGAAAAGGCGGCTCTGAGCAGCCAAGGTGAAGGCAGGCGAGAGCCTCGGCCCGGCAGTGACCGCAGGAACAGAAAGGAAACTGTCTCACACCAGGAAGGAGGTTTCATTTGGATTATAACTAGGATGGAGGGTAGACAGCAATAAATAAAAGTAATCATGCTCAGGGGATCAAAAACTACAACTTAATATGAATTGGTAATGGATATAATTTCTAATCCTCGCTCCCATTACCGTAATAGCCTTTTGTTTTCATTATTAAAACCTACTTGAATTTCATAAAACAAGGGAAGGTACAGAAGAAAAGAGCAAGACGATAGAGGAATGAAGGCAGAATACTTAAATGCAGTTCCTACATTTTCAGAAGAACAAGAGTGGAGTTAGTGACCACAAGGAAAGCACTCACTGCTACTTCAAAAGAGCTTGAGTGCAGCCCTCCCCAGTTTGGCTCCGTGGTTGGAGCATGGGCCTGCTGACCAGAGGGTCCCAGGTTCAATTCCAGTCAAGGGCACGTACCTCGGTTGCAGGCTCCATCCTGAGCCCCAGTTGGGGAATGTGCAGGAAGCGGCCAATCAATGTGTCCCTCTCACATTGATGTTTTTCTGTATCTCTCTCTCTCCCTTCTACTCTTTCTGAAAAGCAATGGTAAAATATCCTCGGGTGAAGATTAAAAAAAAAAAGTTTAAGTGCATAAATTTTATTCTACTTAGAAAAAACTTCCTTTATCTGTATATTACTAATTAGTATGTTCAGTCTTTGGTACGAAATATTAAGAAAAAGCCATATTTTCATATTTTTTAAAACTTCCAAAAATCTTAATGCTAACTTAAATGTGCAGTTTTTATAAACAGCTTTTCCTGATTTTCTGAAAGAAAATCATCTCCCCCGCCCTATTTTCCCATCTCTTCCATTTCTATCCCATTGTTGGGGATTCTTAGCTCTTTCTCTGGCTTTATTTTAGTCTTATTACAATTTTTTGTAAGTTGCTTCATACATTTTTTGAAGGAGTATATAACACAGTTTTTCTTTGATAACCAGTAAGTGGTTGAACACACTCATAAATTAGCCCAGATGAAGCTTATGGGAAAGTTGTACTAGGCTTAGTGTGGTTGTGTTTGTTTTGTTTTTCTGTTTTTTATTCTTTTTTTTTTAATACATCTTTATTGATTTCAGAGAGAGGAAGGGAGAGGGAGAGAGAGATAGAAACATCAATGATGAGAGTCATTGATCAGATGCAGGCCGCACCCGGGCATATGCCCTGACCGGGAATTGAACCCCGATCTCCTGGATCCTAGGTCGATGCTCAACCGCTGAGCCATGGCCCACTGGGCTTTTATTCTTTGTAAGGGTGCAATAAGTATGGAAGACAGTTGGTGTGTTGACATTTGATAGTGGTACATGAAGAATACCATGATAAAATACATGTGTATGTGTAACTATGCAAGAACAAAATCTGGAAGCAGATATACCTGAGTGTTACTAGACATCTTACATTTCTGCATTTGAATATTGCTTCAGATATTTTTGAGGCTAAGTAGATGTAAATTATAAACTCTAAAGAAGCACTCATTTAGCTTTGGACATAGTCTGACCTTGATAGAAAATGACAGAATAGTTATAGAGATTTGTCATTTATAAGCACCAATTATTTCAATTATATCTATTTAATGCTCAACTAAGAACCACATTTTCAAAACTGGGCTTTTACTCAACCAAAACTATGGAGTTCTAGACTTTTCAAGCCAGGAGATACTTTAGCAGTTAACAGATTTTTTTCACAGAGGAAGAAACTGAGACCTGGGAACGATCCCAAGGTCATGAATGAGTATATTATCTGTATTTGTTTTCAGTGCGCTTCAGGAACATTCTAGAATCACCACTATTTATAATGTACAACTTATTCGGTAATATTAGAGAATCATACTAGGCAGTAAAATAGCTTGAATTTTATATATATATAACATTATATTAGTTTCAGGTGTACAACATAATGATTCAATATATGTATATGTCCCAAAATGATCACCACAATAAATCTAGTTAATTCATCACCACACATAGTTACAAATGTTTTTTCTAGTGATGAGAACTTTAAGATCTACTCTCTTAGCAACTTTTAAAATATGATAAAGTATTGCCCTGGCCAGTTTGGCTTAATGGTTAGAGTGTGGGCCTGAGGACCGAGGGCTCTGGTTTCAATTCCCAGTCAAGAGCACACACCTCGGTTGCAGGTTCGCCCCCAGCCCTGGCAGGGGTGCGTGCAGAGGCAACCGATTGATGTGTGTCTCTCACGTTGATGCTTCTGCCTTTCTCTCCCCCCTCTCCTCCCTCCCTCCCACTCTCTCTCTCTAAAACTCAATGGAAAAAATATCCTCAGGGGAAGGTTAAAATAATAATAATATGATAAAGTATTGTTAAGTATAATAACCATGCTGTACATTACAGCCCCAGAACTTACTTATTTTACAGCTGGAAGTTTGTACCTTTTGACCACCTTCACCGGTTTTGCCCACCCCTCACCCCCTCCATACTGTTTTCCATAGTGGCTGCACCAGTTTACATTCCACAAGCAGTGCGCAAAGTTCCCTTTTCTCCACACCCTCGCCAACATTTATTTCTCGTGTTTTTGTTAACAGCCATTCTAACGCCGTGAGGTGGTGTCGCGCCCTAGTTCCGATTCGCACTCCCTGTGATGAGCGACGTTGCGCGCCTTGGCGTGTTCATGTTTGCCACCGGCATGGCTTCTTTGGAAAAATGTCTGTGCATATCTTCTGTTCATTTTTTAATCAGATTGCTTTCTTTGCTGTTGAA